GGCTGTGCTCAGCAGGGTTGGGGTGCTGTGGAGTGCCCCACACTGCTGGGAGCAGGGGCTCGGGCTCTGCCAATGGGGGCTACCCCCCCTCCAGGCTGTACCTGGAAGCCGAGCAGGATGCAGAGGTACCAGGGGGGCACGTCCTCGATCCTGTAGAGCATGTCCATCTCCGGGCGGGGGGGCCCAGTCCCTGCCGCGGGGTCCTGGGGTGCAGGGGCACAGCTCAGCCCCAGCTCACCCTGGGGGATGGGGGGAGCCACACCACACTGCCCCACGAGTGGCACAACCTGCCCCACGGGACCCCCTGTGCTGGCAGGGATGGGGAGGGGTCCCAGCTGGCTGGTCTCCATCCAATGGTGCATTGTAGAAGGATTTTGGGTGTGCGCCATGCTGCCCGCGGGGTGCCCCGGTACTCACCCTGCCTGCCGCAGGCAGCTCCTTCCCAGGGGTTCGTGGGGGGCCAGGGGGGGTGAGAGCCAAGTTCCCGTTCTGGCAGCAAGGGTGAGGCAGGAGCCGGATCAGTGTTGTCCCAGGTGTCCCATGGGAACGGGGCTGGGCTATGCGTGGGCCACCGCTCGGCACGTGCGGCTGCTCAGCCTCATCCTGTGCCAGCTCTGACTCTGAGAGGGGTCTGGGCTCCAAATCCCATCGGTCCCTATGTGATGGTTTGTCCCCAGGGGAGGGTGGAGGGGGGTCTCCACTGGCCCTGGGGTGCCTGGACCACCCTGTGGGTGCTGTGAAGGATGGCACACCCAGTCCCAGCCACAGCATCCCAGCATGTCCCCTTGGTCCTGGTCTTCAACGCAGTCCCCAGGCTCACCCCATCCTTTGCCAGCCCTGGTGGGGGCCCTAAACTGGCCATCACTGGGGTCAGTACCCCCGGTCACCCCCTTCCCACCCCCCTGCCCCAGGATATGGCCAAGGAGAGGACTGGGACGGGGACAGTGGTGGAGGCTGCATTCACCTGGGGCTGAGCCAGGTCTCCCGAGTGGGTCCCCATCCTCCAGCGATGCGGCCCTGGCGGCGATGTCACTGCAAGAGGGATTTTATGGCTGTGGGAAGGACTTTAGTCACCACGCAGGCCGTGGTGCGGGGCAGCAGGCTGGAAGGTGGCCATTGGCTGTGGGTTGTGAAACCAGGGAGCGACCGATCAGCTATTAACTCCTTTAATTAGGGCTGGCACCACCTGCAGGGCCAGGGCACCCCCACCCTGAGCACCACGTTGGTAAAACATTAGAGTTGGCAGGTTACAGAGTAATTCCCAGCCCGCAGGGGGTCCGGCAGCGTGGGGCACCGGCTGCTGCCGGCATCCTCCTGGCACTGGGCTGGGCACTGAGGGACATTTGCGACGCTGATGATGGGTGACACCAGGAAGGTGCCCACCTCCTGGCACGTGTTGGCTCTCGCTGGGGACGAAGTTGGTTCCGAAGGTCACCAGGGCATTAAGCATTAACCACACCAGGGCTACAGCTCATTCTGCAGCGCCTTGGGGGGGGCCGGCCCCCCGGCCTTGCCGCTGGCACAGGCTCCCTTCTCCCCGTGGCAGAGCAGCTCCCGGAGGGCGGCCGGGCCCTGCTGGTGTGCCCCGTAGATCTGTGCCTCTCCCTGCTCGCCCACGTAGCTGTGGCACATCTTGGACAACCTGCGAGGAGCCAAGTGTGGGTCACGCTGCATCCCCCTGCCATGGTGGTGAGGGGACAGCTCCCGGCACCCTCCTGCATTGCCAACCCCCCCCTCGACTTACCTGCCTGGCCAGGGTCCCCCCATCACCATCACGCTCATGAGCTCCTGTCTCAGCAGCCCTGGCCCTGCCAGCCGCTTCTCCCCATCCACCTCCTGCACCCCGTAGCTGTGGGGAGAGTCAGGGGCTGGAGAAAATCTGGTGCCTGGGGACATCCCTGTCCCCAGGGACATTCTGCTCACCTCTCCCAGCCCTGCGAGCAGCTCCTCTCCAGCACCTCCACGTAGTCAGACTCGCTCAGCGTCTTCCTGCCCATCTTCCCCTCCACCCTGCGCAGCTGCTCTTCAATCTGGGGTGAAAAATGGAAGAAACTGGCCATTGAGGGTGGCAGCCTTCCCATGACCCTGCTCTGAGTGGTGATGGGGTCGGCACCCCCTTCCTTGCCACCCTGGCAGCTGAAGCACTTTTGCAGGAGCTGCTGAGTCCATGAGCAGCTGCAAGGGGCCTTGCTGGCCCCAAAGGGCTTTTTCGGGGTGCCGCTGAGGGTAGCCATCAGCAGGGTGCCCCAGGGGAGCAGACAGCATCTCCCCAGGCCAGAGCATCCCTTCGAGGGCTCTCACTCCTGGCTTCAGGGTGCTGTCATCCCTGATTCCCACCTGGAAGGCGATGGCGTGGCAGGCGTCACAGCGCAGAGATTCGGGCATATGGGGCGAGAGCCGCTCCTCAGGGCTGAGCTGGGGTGCAGGGATGGAGTGGGCCGGACTGGCAGGGGGGGCCCCACACATGTCCTCGGCCCCCATCCCTGCCAGCAGGCTCAGGGCCAGCCACGCCGCCAGCACCAGCTGCATTCTGCTGCGATGCTGAAAGTCCTGGGGCAGAGGCACGGGGCGACTATAAAGACTATAAACCGCCCCCCCCCCGGGGCCAGTGAGCCGGCTGACGTGGCCCTGACCATCCCCGGGGTGTCGGGCCAGCAGGGGGGGTGGTGTCTGTGTGCATGGGGTGTCCCCAACTGAGATCCCCCGCTCCGGGAGTTTTTTGTCCTGCAACAGTCCTGCAATGCCTGACCCCTCCTCCTCGACCAAAATCCTCCCTGGGATGGTGTGGACATATGTGGGCTGAGGCTGGGGCGGGGTTTGGGGATCAGGGCTGGGGTTTGGGGGTTCAAGGGCTGGGGTTCAGGGCTTGCTGATGACTGCAGAGCCCCATCCTGCTCCCAGGGACCAGGATTCATCCAGTGGACACTCTAGGACAGATGGACAGACTGGGGTCCAAGTGCCTCAGCCCCTCAGCTCCCCCAAAGGGGCTGCATGAGCCCCTCACACACGCCCCCCTCTTTACAGGCTACACAAACACAGGATGATTATGCAGGTTTTAATTCAGTCTCAGCATTTTTATTACTATTTTAGGGAGTCCATGCTGCAGCCATGGCTGTGGGGGGCTGGTGGTGGCTGGACCATCATCTCCCTGTGCTGACCAGCCCAGGTCACCCATGGGACGGGACTGGCAGTACAGAGGGACAGCAGGGGCCGTGCATCTGGCCCCTTTGCTGGCCAGGGCCTATGGCTTCAGGGCTGCCAGGTGCTCACGCTGGAACATACCCTGGATACCATGGAAAACCCATGAGTAGCCGGTGATGTCCAGCTGGTGGCCAATACCCCTCAGTGCTTTGCCAGCTCAGCCGTGGACAGAGGGTCTCTCCTGTGTCGGGGGTGATGCTGACTTTGGAGTTAAAGGGAGATGCCACACGGGTCCATCCCTGGCCGAGGACTGTCACAATCGGAGCAGCGGTTCCTTCTCGGGCCCGGCAGGGCTGGCACGGGCAGGGGCCTGGGCAGGGCTGGGGCCAGAGCTGGCCTGCATCCCCGTGGGGATGTAGTACAGGCTCTCCAGGTACCCGCCATCAGGACTCCCAGCAGCAGGTGGCCCCTCTCCCTTGGAGACAGAGCTGAAGGTCCCAGAGGAGCTGGGGTTTTCAGCAGCCGGCAGGTCAGGGTGCACAGGAGAGGGGGCGGAGGGTGGCGGGTGTGCTGAGAGACCGGGAAAGCTGCTGTAGGGCATGTAGGGTGGGCCATAGACCCCCGGGGCCATGACCAGGGGGTTGAAAGGAGCCTGGTAGAGCCTGGTGTGTGATGCCACTGGTGGGATGAGCACCTCCAGGTACTGCCCGGTCTCGGGGTCATAGAGTGTTTTCAGCTGGGGTTGCCGTGGTGGCTCCATGTAGTAGCATTTCCCACTGTCGGGATCAACGAGCATCTTCCGGTGCGCAGGCAGGTGGGGGGCGGAGGGCTTGGTGGGGCTTGGCGTGCTCTTACTGCTCTGTGAGGTGCCTTCAGTCCTCCTGAGGAAATGGGGAGCATCCTCAAGGTGAGGCTGGGGCTGAGCTGGGGGCAGTGGTACTGTGTGCTCCACAGCGGCTGGGCCCGTGGAGGGCTGGGGTAGGGGGGGCTCAGGAATGGGTTTGCTCCACAGTGCTTCCCCACCAGGCATGGGACACACGCCGGTCCCCAGTGGAGCACTGGCCAGGTTGGGGGCCAAAGGGGATCCAAAGGATGAGCTGACCACGTTGGAGACTAATGGGTACCCAAGGGAAGAGGGAACTGGGTTGGTGACCAAGGGGGACCCAAAGGATGAGCTGGCTGGGTTGGGGACCAAGGGGATCCCCAGTGATGAGTTAGGCAGATTAGGGTCTGAGGGGATCCCAAAGCATGCACTGGATGGATTGGGGACCAAAGGGGTCCCAAAGGATACAAGAGATGGATTAGGGACCAAGGGGGTCCCAAGGGATGCGTTGGCTGAGTTAGGGACCAAAGGAGTCCCAAAGGATGTGCTGGATGGATTGGGGACTAAGGGGGTCCCAAAGGACGTGCCACACAGGTTAGGGATGAAGGGGGTCCCAAAGGACGCACTGGCTGGGTAGGGGATCAAGGGGGTCCCAAAAGACTTGTTGGCGTTGGAGACCAAGGGAGTCCCAAATGATGTGTTGGCCAGGCTGGAGACTGAGGGGAAGCCGAAGGATGAGTTGGACATACTGGGGACTGTGGGGGACCCAAAGGCTGTGCTGGATGGCTTGGGAACCAAAGGGGTCCCAAAGGATGTGCTGGTTGGGTTGGGGACCAAAGGGGTCCCAAAGGACGCAATGGCCGGGCTGGGGACTGCAGAGCTCCCAAAGGACATGCTGGCTGGGTTGGGGACTGAGGGCAGCTTTGGCATTGGGGAGGACTTGGGGGCTTTCACAGGAATTGCTAAGTAGTTGAAGTTCTCCGCTGGGGCAGCAGGAGGGTTCGGCTCGGTGCCTGCTGGCCGCTTCAGTAAATGCTCCCAGGCCTCCCTCTGCTCCGGCAGGCGGCCAGAGGGTCCTTCACTGCCCTCCCTGGCTTCAAACAGGGCAGCAGGGCCGGCGCTGTCAGCAGAGCCGCCACTCCCCGCTGACACCAGCCAGCTGCCTGGCTGCTTCTGCCTCTGCTCACTTGTGCCTGGCTCTGGCACGCTTCTTGCTGCCGGTTTCACAGGCTGTGGGTGTGTGCTGCCGCCAGCCGGGGCTCCAGCTCGGGGGTCCCCACTGTCGCAGCTTCCACGCTGCTGCGCCACTGGCTCGGGCCCCTCAGCAGTGTGGAGCCCTCTGGTGACACCATGGCCACGTCCCTCCTTCTCCTTTCCCTCCGTGGGACTCAGTGACCGTCGTGGGAGGAGAACAGTCTTCTCTGTCCGCAGCACCGCACTGCTCTGAGCCGGGGAACCCTCCCGGGGCGCTGCTGGGGATTGTCGGCCCACCAGGACATGGAGATGGGTCTCCACGTGCGGCACCCCCTCGGCCACCGGCACCCACGGTGGCACCCTGAGCTCGCTCCGCTCCCAGCGTGGGGGAGATGCCGGTGGCCCCTCTGTGGCAGCCTCACCCCTCCGCGTGGCCTGAACCCTTGTGATGTTGACAGGGGAGCCCTGGGTGGGCGAGGGCCGGCTGCTGGTGGGCTTTGCGGGGCCTTCAGCACACGCTGGGGCTGGCTCTTGGCTGGAGGCTGCCAGCACCTCCTCATCCCCCGGCTCCGTCGCTGGCTCCCGGCGGCAGACCGAGGTGCAGTGGATGACAAGCGGGGTGGCCGTCGGTGGCTCTCCGCCGCTCGCTGGTGCTGTGGTGCCACGGGATGCACCAGCAGTCCCAAAGCAGAGGCTGTAGCTGCTCTTCACCAGCTTGCGCACATCCCGGGGCTGCGGGATGCGCCCCTTCCCCTTCTCTTCTGGCTTGGGGGGGATGGCCGGCGGGGCCCCCCGGGCCGAGGTGCCAGGGCTGGGCGGCCGGCGAGGCACTGCCGGTGGCTTCTCTTCCTGCCGGCTCTGTGGCACCAGACTTACCTCCTGCGCCCAGGAGGTGACGAGGCGGCGTGGTGGCCCGGTGGGGAGTGCTTGGCTGTCGGCTTCGAAGGGGAGGGGTTTTGGGTGGCTGGGGCAGATGGCTCGCTGCTTCAAGCTGGGCCATGGCTTCGGCACTCTCTCAAATTTGCGGGCGACATCCAACACCTTCCCGACCCCAGGACGGGCTTCGAACAAGGCACGTGCTTGCCGGTAGCGGATCCTCCCCGATGCTGGCTCCTCAGTGGTGCTGGGCAGCTGGTGGCCCTCCAGCACTTCCCGATACTTCATCCTCTCATTGAGTTCATTGAAGGTCTTCTTCAGCTTGCAGACACTCTCTCTCGTTGCCTCGCTCAGCACCACCCCCTTGGTGGGATGGGTGGTGGTGGCGTCCCCCATGGCCACCGTGGCCATCGCAGCCACTGGCACCCCACCGCTCCGCAGGTCCTCGGCTGAGAAGCTGCAGTCCGAGCGGGAGAGTGAGCTGGACTTGCCCTCCAGGCCGTCCCCCAGCAGGTCGGTGCCAGCAGAGGATGGCCCCGAGGAGGTCGAGCTGCCCCACAGCCCCTTCTGCTCCATCTTGATCCTCTGCTCGTACTGCATTTTCTTGGCAAGGACGTTTTTCACCAGGCAAGAAGCCGCTCTGGTCTTGCTGGCATCAGTGTCCAGGGAGGCTGTCTTCATGAACTGCTTGTAGTTGAGCCTGAAGTCCTCCCCGACGGCCCTGCCCTTGCCGAAGGGCTCCTTCCGGGCGGGGGGCAGGGGCTGGGGGGCTGGACCATCTCCCCAGGGGCCAAAACCTGTCTCCTTCCTCTCCTTCCTCTTCAGCAGGATCTGGCGCTTGGGGACAGTCCTCTTCTTGCAGTGGCCCTTCCTGGCCTCTCCGCTCTCCAGCTCCACGTCCACGCACTCGAACTGCTCCTTCCCCAGCAAGCCCAGCAGCTCCCCGTCCACGCCAGCGGGGAAGGGCCAGCCCATCCTGCCGTGAAGGGCTGCTACTGTGCCCCGCGGCTCGCTGCTGGCCACCGGCCACCGCCGCGGCCGCCCACCGTCCTCCGACAGCGAGTTGGAGAGGCTGGAAGAGGTGTGGGAGCTGCACATGTCGAGATGAGCAGCAGGGAGACCCGATAGGCTGCGGAAAGCCCTGGCCGTCAGCGCTCGCACCTCGCCGTCCGCCTCGTCCGAATCGCTGGGTGCCCCGCCGAGCATCCCCCCGGGCTGCCGGGGCAGAGCCAGCTCCCCACCAGCGGTGGTGGCAGCAGAGGCAGGCTGCCGGTCCCCGCCGAGGAGACCCATCCTGCCCCCCGGCCCCGGCACCGGGCTATTCTTAGCTGCGACGGACAGCTGAGCCTGCTG